TGAAGGCAAGACTTAGAAGAAGATGTAGGAAAATATTATAGTGTCCAGGTCAGCCACAAATACATTTCCCCTCTGGTAGGCTGAATTTCCCATGGAAAAATATCATACACTCTCAAGATTTTTATAATTCCAGGTTTATTATAGATAGTTTTTCTTAGAATCAAGTTGGACTATAGTTTTGGTGGGTTTTTTTTTCCCTGCTAGCCTTTTAACAAGCAAACATTGTTTTCAATCTTAATTAAAACTGCTTTTTGTTCCACATTTCTCCATTTCATAGTCAGGAGGGGATACTAGATCTACTTAAGTGTTTACTATTAGGTTGATGTGTGAACAAAACAATTCTGTTTAGCTGACAGATATTCATTTGGGATTTACTTTGATTTACACGTTATCGTGAGAACTTCACATTTTATACCTCTGACACATCCACATCCACCCAGTTCCTTCCACTAAGTCTTCATGGAAAACACGATCTAGCAGTGACTGAATGTCCCTGGGGAGCAAGATATGGAAACAAATGCTTCCAGGTTTCTAGCAGCTCTTCTGGTTTTTCACTTGATGATGTTTATCCTCTTCGCACTTGGAACAATGTGGTGAAACCGGCCAGTTTCACTAAGGTGTAGGTGGGTGATATTGTTTTAGTCAAGCATCTGACAATGCTGACAATTCAAACAAATATATCCAGGTCCAAATGTTAATACTCCTCTGATTGTTTTTAATGGGGTGGAAGTATGTGTGAACACCAAATCCTTATCTTGCATGTGAGCTGCTTGGCCTTGCAGCTTCTGTAATTCTCTCAATTTCTCCTGGTTGCTTTAGAGAAAGAAGTGAGAAGAGGAGAATTTTAGTGTATGGAAAAGAGAAAGGAGCTTGTCAGTGCAAGTTTGTAGTTGCTGAGCTTTTTCTTTCCTTCTAACAATGAATTGAACTTCCACTCTGATAATGTTTAACTTGTTAATAGCATTTCTATTTTAAAAGTGTAAGAGACTGACTTTTTTTTTAAAAGAACTTATCAAGATGAAGAAAAACAGAAGTAAATTCCTCAGCTTGCCAGGCTGTGCTTTTACTTTGCTCAGAGGTATTACTCAGAGGTTGAAATGGTAAACTTCCTTGTATTTAACTCAGCAAGAACTGGTTTTTGTGAAAGCAGCCTTTTGTGTGCAAGTAGTGTGCAGTCGTTTGTATGGCAAGAATGGGCTGCATCTATTTCTTCTGGGAGGAAGAGGTCCCTCTTAATTTCTTCAGGTTAAAGCTGGAACTTCTTTATTACTAGCTCTACATGAAAGTTTTTTTTGAGTTATCTGGAGCAGAATTCTTACACTAAAGCAAACATCTGCCAGTTTTCTTGTGTTTAAAAAAAAAAGTGGAGGATTTGGTGCAGTATATATATGAAGGTGAGCAGGCTAATGGATGGAGACTTGAGTTTGTCTCCCCATGCATCACATGGAGTCCCTGTCTCACTCGCCTGTGTTCGTGTGTTAGTATGGCTTAGCTAAAGCATTCAGACTTCAGATGGTTATCACTATCTGAAACTGTGAATAATCTTTGCTATCTTTGGAACTTTGTAAACCAGTTTCCCATACTCTGGCTATAGGTCTTGCAAAGGAACATAGATGAATGTTTATTGGCAAAGCAGAAAGGTTATAGCCCAGGTAGAAACAAAGGCAGAAGCGTCAACAGGATGTCTGTTGTTTGATCTAGACTGTCTTTGGGACATTTGCTATTTTTAAGCATTCTTCCTGTGAACCTTTTTGAACTCCCTGCTGAAGACCCCTGAGAAAGGCATGTAGTTGCAGATGCTAAAAATCCAGGTATTTTCCTGTGTTGATATAGCATACTGTAGAAAAACATTTGCAGCTTTTCAGTTTACAGAAGGCTGCTCATCCCTTTCGTGTGGCTAAGTGAAACTGATATTTTCATGCTGAGAGGAAGTGTGATATAGCTTATACAGCCAGTGCCCAAGAACTAGGGTTTATTTTAGTCTGTACTGATTCTTGATGTGTAACTGTGAGCTAGTCTTAATGGAAAAATACCTGCCTTGCAAAGTGTTTCCTTTGTCTGTTCAATAGCTGTACCAGGCTCAGCACTGTGACTGTTGGGTGGGACTTGGTATTTGGAAGGAGATCTTGCTTTCCTGTATAGTTATATAGAAGTCTGGTTCTTAAAGCTGAATCTGTGACATCAACGTGGAAATATCACTGCAGTTCAGTAGCACTTTATCCTTGTTTAGTCATTTCAATAAGCAGCTAATCTGAATTTGCACTGTTGAGTTCCAAGTTGAAAATACAGATGTTGAAATCCTGAAGGGTGCTTCACGCTTCCAGCTCTTTGTTCAAGTGTTACATGTGCAACAACTTCATGAGCAGGACAGGAGATTTTTTATTTTTAAGCATCTAAAAGGCTACCGCCACTGAATGTCCATAACCATGCTTGGCAGGTTCATGAGCTTATGATGGATAGCAATTATCCTATTACCCTGGAGGTGTCCTATCCTGCTTTCAGATCCTATCGCATAGTCTTCTGTGACCTGGGATTTGGGACTTCTCTCATGTGCATTTGATTCAGTACAATGTTCTTTACTGCTGCTCTGGGAGCTTCTTGTCATATGTGTTGGCACCTTATGAATTGCTGCCTCTGTCAGCAGAAGTCCGGGAATGACAATTTGTACTGATGAGTCTCATAGGCATCCTGTCCCTTTTAAAAGAAGGGCAATGAGGAAAAGCAGAATTGAGAGAAGTAGAACATTTTATTGTGGCAAGTTAATAACCTTATTTTAGAAATTAAAAGTATTATTGATTTTTCAAAATCAATGCTCTGGAAGAGTCAAGTATGGCTTTAGTGAAGAATGGTAGTGGCTCTTTGTGAGTTAGCCTTTGCATCCTGTTTTAGAGGGCTCTAGTCTGCAATAGTGTTCCATGAGTACGCAGGAAGACACTTCTGTGTTTCAGGTGTTTAGCTGTTCGCTACAACAGTTGAAAGTCCTGGGTTTCCATGCATAAAGGGTTCAACTACTGAGCTATCAGAGGAGTTTCATCTTCATTTTGATACATGATCTACCTCGTAAAGATGAGGGATCTGCTGCATTGTACACTCCTGCATATGCAGAGAGGTTTGAGTGGAGTTTTTTGCTTTTGGAGAGGGGTTAGTTTTATTTACCTGTTACTGTGCATTGGGTACATTCTTATTCTATGCTTATTCTAGAGTTAGAACAAATCAACTTTGGCATGTTCTGGCATGACTGTTCTTGTGTTCTTCCTTTCCCACAGTCTTTAGCATTGGCATTTTTTCATTTGTTTGTTTGGGAGCAGAAAGCTTCAGGAAATCTCATGTAAATAACTATTCAATGCTTTAAGCCTCCCAGATCATAGGTGGAACTATTTGAGCCAGTTTGCTAAGACTAGTGGAAAAAGATCTTTGAAATGTGTGGTATGTATTTATTTCTTTAAATTCAGCTTCTGTGCACTGATACATAAAGGCTGTGAATGTTTGAGTATTGAATTTAAAGACAAACAGAGATTGTTCAGCAAGCACAGATACTTTTGTAGAATGATTTTTGCAGCAAAAGCAGCCTGCAATTCCTCTTAAATCAATATTGGTTTATGAAATGATAGCAGAACAGGCATAGTGCTTTTGGATTAAGGGCCAGAACAAACCTATTATTCAAAGACTGATGTTAATATAGATGTGCTCAAACTTAACTGGTGCTATCAGAGGATGCAGGACCATCACCTGTGCCTGAAAAATTCTCATTTAAATCCAGCTTTGATTATGTAAAAAGTTAAATTGTAGTTGATTCAAGTTGTGGGTTTTTTTTTAAGAACTCCAGGATGACATGGAACCTGTGGAATTAATAATTACAAGATTACTTGAGTTGATTGGAGAATTTTAATGCTCCTGTAATGTCAAATTACAGCATACTTGAAAAGAATTTGGTCTTAGTCTTGAGGTGAACATTTTCAAAATGGTGCTGTTGTGAATGAGGACAACAGCAGTCATGCTTCAAGATTAAGCAGGGTTGTCTGCTTCTGTTTTTGAAAAGTGGCAGTTATCATAGTGCAGGCTGGAGGAATGTTGTAAGCTGGCGGCTTGCTTGATACGCTTGGGGCATCTCTTGTTTCTCCCTTGCCGTTCAGGAAGGGATGCAGACAGACTTTTTCTGTAAATACATGCTCCGATTCCATTAAGTTTTAGCAGTTAAATACACAAATCCTTCATTTGAGACCTTGTTGTCTAGAAAGTCAAGATTTGGTGCGTCACACTTGGTCCACTGAGTATGTGCTGTCTGATCTCTGAGTGGGTCAGAGTCAACTCAAAGGGAGATGCAAGATGGTTTCTGTTGGTACAGCGCTGCCTGACTTGATGCCTCGTGGAAGTATGTTACTGTTAGGCCTCAAGTTCTGCAGGTCTGACTTACTGTTAACAATTACTTTTTGATGTGCGGGTCAAAAGAAAAAAATCCTTTCCTCACTCCCAAACAAATGTAACTGTATTATCTCGTAACTGTGTTATCTCTGCCTGTGGTAAGATGGGTTAAAGTTAGTAAAATCATGCTGAGTTCATTAAAGGGTTAGATCTGTCAGCAAACTGACGCTGCTCATGTGCTGTTTCAAACCGCTCCTTTTTAGTACCAGCAGCACTTGTATAGGCTTGAAAATGCACAGAAAAGCAGCAGAGTCTTGTAGTACAACCTACAGCACTGGGATCATTGGTAGAAGCATCCACTTCAGTGGTTCAGGTGCTGCAGATGAGGGAATACTTCCACCCTGTTTTTATAAAGGTATTTACTTTATCCTTTTAGCTAGTTGTGAAAAACTGGAATTCAGTTGTGGTGGGGTTTGATTTTTTTCCTCCTTAGTTAATAGAAATAATGAAATGCAGGAGAAATGTAATTTTATTATTCCAGAGTGTGTATTGGGAATTTTCAAGTGAATTATAGGTAGTTTCTTTTGCTATAGTTCCCAGTCATTCATTCTGTTACTTGATGTATTGTCCATCTCTAGATACCTGCTTGAACAAGATTTTCCAGGCATGCGGATTGGTCCAGAGCCTACCACGGATTCTTTTATTGCTGTGATGTATGGAGATTCAGAAGGAAATGTTCCTGGAAATGCCCTAGTTGTTGATCCTAAGAAGCCGTTCCGCAAACTCAGCCGCTTTGGAAATGCTTTCCTGAACAGGTGAGATCTGTTTGCTGGCTGCCTTTGATTTTTTTAATGTTTAAATTTGGTACCATCTTCAAGCATCAGTGTATTTTACTAAGTTTTTTCTGCTGTATTTGTTTTGAACAGCATGGTATTCAAATACAAGCATGAGTGGTGGCGGTTCAAGTGAATTAAAAAAAAAAAAGGCAGTAAAGCAGTACTAGGCAGGGTAGTATTAGCATAGAGCTGTGTACACTTGGTAAAACTTAAAAAAAAAAAACCTCTAAGGTAAGGAGTGTTTATATATATTCGGTTCTCAGAACAGAAAATTGTTGTTAAAACCAGTTCACAGAAAACTGCTGAAATGCTCCAGCAGCTAACTTGTTTGTAAGGCATTACGCCAGCTGGAACTCAAGATTAGTTTGGGTGCAAACTTCCCTGCTCAGTAAAACCAAATAATAGATCAGCGCTATTATTAAAAACTACCATCCAAAAAGGAAAAGATCTTTTCCCTGAGATACTGTCTTGTTGCTTTATGCCGGTCTCACCTGAGGTCTTGGTATAGCTCTTTAAAGTTGTGAATTTCTGGGATATGTAAAAAGGCCTACAAGAATGGAGAATATTTGAATATGCCTTCTGGATAAAGTACGTATTCAGGTGGTTAAGTGTTTAATTTTAACTAGCTGGTCTTCAAGCAGTCCCATAGACCAGAATGATAGCGTTAGCTTCTGGGTGGCTGTTGGGTATTTGCAAAAAAGGGAAGAGTTTTCCAGGGGCTTGTGAATATTGCCATGGGTAACTTAAGTAGCAGGCTAAATGTTTCCAGTTAAAAGTTATTAATAACTTTGTTCACATTGTGTGAACAGTCACCTTGTTTTCTTCCTGTATTTGATGGTGGCTTGACATGGAGGCCTGATTTTGCAAGCCAGTTAATCTAAATTGGTTCTCTTTTAACAATAAACTTTCCTGTTTGGCTGATAAACACTGGCATACGTGTTAAAAGTTTGTCATGTACAGTCTTATCTCTCGGTGTGCTTATTCACAGAAGAAAGTTTATAGCTGCTTAGAGTTGGCTTGGCTATCACTTTGCTGAGAGATAAGAATATGTGCTGTGGGAAGCTGCAGTCAAGTCCCATTTTAAATAACAATTTAGTGGTCCAAGACCTCTTTCTGTGAGATTATTGGCTAAATCTTGTCCTCCAG